AAAGAAAATGATACCAAATAGCATAGGTTTCGAAAATTTTATTTGAAGCAGAAAAGTAAGGCCAATCAACATGCCTAAATTCTTTAGGAATTCTTGGAATATTGTATGCTCCACAACTCGACTGGAGTGTGTTTCTAGTGATTGATTCAGTATCAATCACAAGGTTTTAAAAAGTATAGTCCAAAATGTGCTCACGTATCTGAAGTCTTGCATGCAAGTTTTATTCAAGCTTAAAACTTGAATTTTTGGTTGTGATCTGCTTCAGATACTGCACACACACTTTCCTGAAGTTCGTCTTTATTTTAAAGCCTTTATCTGCTGTAGCTCTGAGTCAAGACTCAGCACGAGCAAGTTTTTGAATTGTCTTGCCCACTTATATTCTCTTAGAATTTTGAATCTCAATCTAAAAGAATTAAATTTTGTCCAACTGTATACATTGCGTATAGCTATGGCAATGATTCGTGTTCAAGATCTGACAGCATTATTGTGAAAACGATACTGAAATAAAAACGTATGCAATCAGCAATATATGCTCAATATCTTGTTTTGTATAGAATCTAACCTTGAGAAAGTAATCAATTCAACTCAGTACTTTGCTGGTGCCTTACTGATGCTGGCCACGTGTTTCGCCATCGAAAGATGGATGGGCTGGAGTTTCATTGATAAAAATTATCGCAGGGGTGCAATCTCAGTCGCCGGAATGCCTGGATTGCAATGCAATGGTGGGAAAACCCGTGTGTGGCTCGGATGGTCGAACCTACTCAAATGAAAAGTGCCTCAAATCGGCTGCCTGCCAAAATGAGCTCAAGAATGTAAGAACTGTGGCTGCGGGTCCCTGCAAGTTCACCTTCACGGCAGTCCCATCGACCAAACCTACTCGAACCAACTTTACATCTACGTCAATTACTATAGGTAATGTACCACTGAATTTTTTATATGCGTAGTTACTCTACGCACCACATAGATGCTACCCGGTACAATCAACATATTTGAATACCTCCGGCAGATGTCGCCTCAATCTGCTGGAACCTCAGAATCAATTCCAATTCATTGGCTGAACCTATTCCGTTGTTGAGAGAATTTATTCGTAGAGGACTTATAATACTGTATTGGAAAAACTCTTTGGGACCAAATAAAAATTCGTTATACAGAGAAATTTGCGGTAGACAAGATTATTGTTGCAGAGAGAGCAGTCCAACTGTATATATATATAGCCTTGGCCAAATTTAGTACACAAAAACCTATTACGTAACCCCAACTCAATACATTTTCAATTCTGTTCCTGTATTCATGTTTTATTGAACCTTGCCAAAAACATCGCGCGCGGAACGACATTATAGCTTGCTTGAATATGAAATCGGCTAATTTATTTTACCTTCGTGTTAGACAGGTATATACTGTGTATTAGGACAATCTGAAATTATTTTGTCTACAAAGTTTTCCCTGTGTAACGGATCTTGTCGGATCCAGATGTGGGGTTTTCGACCCATTCTATATAGGGTTCTCTTCACTTAAATTCTCTTTATACTGTACTTGTACAACGCTTTTTTTTATTCCACTGAATTTTTTGGTATAGAGAATCTACCTGTGTACGTGGAACTGAGAAAAAACACCTGGCCGAATCTAACGACTATAATAACCCAAATTAAAAAACCTTGGGAGATCTCTTTCAAAATTGAAGTGACACCTATACGGAGAAAGTCAAAACCATAAACCTCGGAAAATTTCACTTGGCCTTAAAAAAAAACAGAATTGCCTTTGCATCGAGATATGAGATTAGGGAATTTATAAAGTAGCCCACCCTGATTAATCAGAGAATCTTAAATGACATGGCGTATTTTTTTCAATTTTTGCTTGACGTTTTATTGCTTCTATAATATGAACTTGTAATATAAGGGATTTCAAAATGTTTTACATCCCAATATTGCTGATGCGTGTTTCTAAATATAAGAGAGCCAATGCAAGAAAATCTTACTCTCCTACTTGCTTTTTTAATTTCGCAAACTCCTCAAAGTAATTATTGTATCGACGAAATTATAAGTCTGAAGTACTCTAAAGAATAATATGCATCACTCGTTTAGCTATAGCCTAGCGTACAGTATTCCGATAGCTTCATTGCGCGATTAATGTCACGAAGCTTTAAGAATCCTTGGAGTGATATCATTTTTTAAAGATTTTTTTTTAGACGAATGAAAGAACTCCATCGTGTTTTTTTATGCTCCGGATTTCAGAGTGCCCAGCGATTTGCTCGGACGACAAAAAATTCGTCTGCGCTTCTGACGGCATCACGTATCCGAACGATTGTCTGATGCGAATGGAAGCCTGTCTCTTTAAGAAGGCACTTCAAAAGTCATTCGACGGCAAGTGTTCCGAAGAGGAAGACGACGTCGACAGTGACGACAACGACGAGGACGAAGACAACGAGGATAACGACAACGACGTCGAGGAAAGAACCGAGTCTGAATCTCAAAAACAACCCGAGTCTACGACCGCTCAAGCAGTAGCTACTACAAGTGGGTTTTCTCGGGAAAAATCTGCTGTTTATTTTTAATGAGACCCTCACAAGGAGCATATTTACTAATTGACTTAGCTATATAAACGTGGATTCACTTCAACAATATCACAATCAAAGCAGAATAAAGTCAATGAATCAGGGAAAAAGTACAGGTAGCTCTGATTTCAAAACTGTAACACATATGCAGAAATATGTAAAAATTAGTTCTTGATTTACTCTTTTGATTGACTCTTTGCATTGCTGTTGAATGAAAAAAGTTTTATCCTGATGCTTTTGAACTGCCATTTTTCTTCCTTTATAAAGATCAGATCACATTTGAATTACTCTTTCGTGGTTGAGAGGCGTTCAAAATATGTTTTCCATGGTTTTCAAAAGCAGCTTTTAGTCAGTAATTTTTTTCGGAATAATGCATGAAATGCACTGAGATAAGTCGCCATTCCTATGAGTATAGTGCCGAGAATAATTCGTTGCTGAGAAAAGCTGAGCCAATTCATTTTTCGTAATTTCCTCGAAATAGTTGTACTTCGGATCTGCATTTTTCGAAGTCAGAAAGCCGG